AACATGGAGACTGAAAGAGAGGAAATGACTGTTAAGACCACGCAGTGAATACTTGAACAGTATTTGCGATAGCTGTGAATAAGCATACCTTGTCGAGAACAAGTACGTTTAAATACTTTCTCTTGCAAATGCCTTGTGCTAGAGTTTAACACAATGGTTAAAGTGTTCTTACCTGCAGAATTGAAAAATGATGCGAACTCGTGTTTTTGTGGTAGTTCTCAGCGTTTCTGTTCTTGTCGGAGGACAGTAATTCGCACCAAAGCTTTCCTTCTGTTCCACGAGAAGAGGCCATGTTTAAAGAGAGGCATAAATTATTTCGAAGGCACGCCAGAGTGCAATGAAACATGTCAAATATCGTGAACTTTCTGATCTGAGTAACGTCCAGATAATGGAACTCCTCTTTAAGAAAATAGCTTTGTTCAGCTGCCTGGTCAGAAGGGCCCCAATCTTGTTCAGCACTTTTCATTCCTGGATTGAGGAGAATAAAATGGATTCTAACCAAATTGCTATTACAATGCTTAAACTAAGACAAGAACTCTCTGCATGTCTCTCCCTGGTTGAGTAAGGCTTCTTGCTGTATTTGACATTTGACGAATGTTTCGATTGTAACGCTATGCCCTTTTCTGTCTCCGAGAACGGAGACAGAAAAGGCACCAATCTCCGATGCAATCGTTTTCTGATTCTCAAATAAATAAAACTCCACATCCGAATCGACCACATCGTGAGGCAAACGATTATAATTCTTTTTTGACATTATTATTTACCACGATGACAAACCACAACCTATTTTATGATATAAAAGTGAAGATATGGTCCGCTAAGTTGAGCTGCATGTGATGAAAGAAATTGCTAAAAAGAAGCCTGAGAAAAAATTCGGGTCTCGACGCCTTTCAAAAGATGACTTATTTATATAATTGTGTCGATTCTCAAAGCTCGATTTGAAATTGGGCCAAAAAAAAAATTACACATCTTACTTCCTAATATAAACGTATTTCCACTGCCCCAATAGATATTTGTATGTATAATTTTATGAAAACTGGAGCTCTAAGTTTGAAATAAGTTCGAGACACATTCTTCTTCAAAGGTGATGATGAAATATCTGAAATCATTTCTATTTTCAAAAAAGCTAACAAAACAAAAAAAAAATAAAACTTAAAGCAAATAATTGATACAACTTCAAGTTGATAGATTATCATTTATAGCTCATTAAGCCGATCCGCATAACGGTCAAGAAGCCATTGTTTATTTTTACTAGGAAACTCTTTGAAGACTTTGAAACGTTTTCACAATGTGCTACGACAAAAACTCAGATAGCTACAACAAATCGACAGAACCTTTCTTTGATGACTTACAGCAATTTCAGACACGTCGAATATAAAAAAAGGCTTTTAGTTTATTGTGACTTAATGGCAGATTTGACAGTTTTTCAGCCAAATTAAAAAAAAAGCATTAATTTCCCTTTTTTCCACTTTGGCTGCCTACACCAATTCAGCATTAAAAGGGATACAAAGTCTCGATAAGGTTGTTAAAACACTTTAGTTCCTTTTACTCAAGTGCGCCGGATATAGTAGAGATCATGAGTAGGGATCACTTCGGCTCATTTGAACTTTAAAAGCAACACAATTGTGCTGTCTCCATCTCATAATTTATCCACTTATTAAAATATTTTTTTAGGTCATCTTGTTGTTCCTTTTTCCTTTCAGCCCCTCTCGTTCTTCCTGATAGTTTCAGCAATAAGAAAATAATATTGGTAACAAAATTCATTAACTTCTTTGTCTAAGAAACAAGTTTACCTACAGGACTTGTGCCTCAACTTACAAAATGTCTGGTATTCTCGGTAAATTCTGAAGCTAATGACTCAACAGGTTTAGCCAAAATTGAAGGAAAAAATAGAACATCATAGAGGGAATGAAGACAATCTAACCTGAAAAAGATTTAGCTGCAAGAGATGTTAGGAAGAGCAAGTGGAAAATTGTGGACATAATGGCTTCTGCGTGCGAGCGAACGATCGGCGGTCATCCGCTGGGAGTGAGTTTGACTTTGTTAAGTTAAGTGAGTTTTGAGTTCTGCTTGTAATAAAGGATTTTCCTTGTGTCACCTTTCATACGTGAGGTAATTTATATGATACTGGGCCGCTCGTGTTTTAATCCAATAGCTTGGTACAGTTGGTAAGTGTCACTTAAGGATACTGTACTATCTTTGGAGCTGTTTTGTTTGTTTAAATTAAAAAATCTGTCAGCAAGCAGAGTAAAATAAGGGCAACCTTCAATTTGCAAACTTGAGAAAGATTGCTGCCAGTATAACCGTACCCAGGATACGAATCACAGGCATTTAGTAAAAGTGGAGCTCAGATTCGTTTCCCTCAAAAGAAAAAGGGTCAGATGAAAGAAGAAAATCCTGCTATCGCACGCCAAAGACAAGCGGACTAAAGTATTTTTTTCCCAAAGAAATTTTATCCAGAGATTTCTTGCATAACATGGCACCTTAGCGGTTATGGAAACAAGATTGTTTGTTTTTCCAAAATTTGGAAACCTCTGAGGCAGGACATCAGGTCCTTTGAAGATTGGCGAAAATTTTGCAACCACGTTATACGGTCGTCAGAAGTTGACAAGTTTTGTTTTCTAATGTAAAAGCGGACGATTTGAGTCTCCCTGTCTCGCAATATTCACATATCAAGCCTTTTTTTACAGACACCTTCAAAAGTGTTATCTTTATAGGTTGTCACACAGCTACCACCGTTGTGGCACGGAAAGGGAAATTATTAGATGGCGATCCACTTTACCGCAGAAATTTTAAATTTATCATGGGGAAAACTTTTCTTCATAATAAGGCCCGATAAGAAAATTTTATGAAAGTTTCGAGTGCAATATGTTGTTGGTGAGTACGAGAAATATTTTTTAAAGATAACAAAGTTGCGTAGGGTGAGTGCAATTTGAAGTCTTTCAAAAATTTCCAAGTGCTTATTTACACCAAATTCCAATAGAAATCACGTTATTATATATTAATAATTTACACGTTAAAGCATCACAGAAGGTCAAAACACGAAATTTTGACAGCGCGCTATTTGTAATTTGCACTCGTGTTGCAAGTTTGCATTCGTGTTACATGAAAAATGCACTAGTTTTTAGTCAATCAGAAGCGCGTAATTATTTCATGTATACTAGAAATGGCATAATTACAGTGTGTGCTGTAAAAAGTCAAGTCAGTGTCAGTAACCTAACAAACCCCACCTAAATAGAAACGTATACTTATGGGAAGACAGTTACTCACAAACACTTCCCAGTTTACAGACCAACAGAAAGTGTCTTTCAAGCATGAATATACGCATTCGTGGTCGTCGAAAACTACGAACGTTCCACTTTTAGGCGCAGTGAGATATTAATATTCATCTATTATTAAAAGACTTTGTTTGAAAGTCTGGGATGAAAAGGTGAACTTGTGTTGCAAAACAGGCGCTTCTGCAAAGAAGCAAATATGTGTTACATTAAAAGAAATTGGAAAAACATTTTTTTTAGTGTTGTCCAAATTTTCAGGGTCACCTCTCTTTTGACGCCGGCTTCAAAACAACATTGCAGACTCCTCTTTGTGTTTCTTCAGCTGTTGTTTCGTATCTGCAGCCATTTAAGACATTCTACTTTTCTCTCGGAGTTCTCGCTTTAAGTCTAAATGAAAGAAACAATTGACTTTTTTTTTCACAAGGTATAGTGATCTCAATATTGGCAACTCTCAAGGCTTCTTAAACTTTGATTTATGTCTTGGGTAATTACCATTTAAACTGGCCACTTAAGATAATTTAGAACCGCGACTCCTTTCTCTCCTTTGAAACTTTTAGGAAATTTGTCACTATTTCATCTCAAGATGTCAGTTGCAAAAGGCCACTCAAGGAAGTTTTAATACCAATATCAAAAGATAACCGGAGATGAAAAATGGTGTGTAATTGCTTCCTTTTTGCTGACAGCTAACCCGTAATTTTAGCAACATCTCCACTGAATAAGGAGCTTTCAGTCCCACGATTTAACATGTACATTCATTATTCAAATTCGCGGATCATAAAAGAGATTATTGATTTAAACGACTTTGCGTTTGGTAGGGCGTGAACTGAAAACATTCCATTGGTATTCCAGGTCACATAATTGGGTGTTGTTGTTGTTGTTTTTCCTAGTCAGTTCTCTACAGACGAGTTCTTTTAATACATCAGATAATCAGCGACCTTAGATATGAGAGTTTCAATGGGGTCGAGGTCGATCGAGGGGTGCCTTAGACAAAAGAAAAGGGAAAAAACATGAACAAGATAATCAATCCGTTAATATATCAGAGGACCTGTCGTATCCAGATTGTAACCGTGCCGGAAATGGGTCGATCCTAAGATTGATTAAGTCATCTTGATAGTAATAGCATTTGTTTGTTAAGAGAGCCCACCGTATACGGTTGTCAGAGCCTACATTCATCAGTACTACAAAGCACAACTATTAGTTCTTTGTGGTAAAAAAGATTGGGGTTTTTCATCGTAGTAAATAACCTTTTCATTATAAGAGACTAATATTATGGTTTGTCTCACGATGTGGTCACTTTGGATGTGAATGGCAACGTTCGACTGCATACTGTTAGTCTTCTTTAGGCCATGAGGTTGATTGAGTACGCGTTACCTATAAGCTGTTGCGCATTATGCTGTGTGGCATATGCTTTTGTAAAATTCAATAAGGACGGAAGTAGTGTCATGCAGATATCCTAACAAGACATACAGATAGTGAAAAATTTCATGATAGACTTCTACATAAGAAAGGGGCGAGACAACAAACTAGATAACTAAATTTACCTACAGCACCTAACAAAGGAGTGTAATTAACAAAATACCGAAGAGCAAAGTACACGATGACAAGTAGGTGAGAAAACGGAAACAAAGGGAAAAATTTGCCCCAACCAAACCTTTTATTTCTTACTGAATCGTTCTGAACGTAATCTTAACATCTGAATGAACTTTCCGTGTTTTTCTTTTGGTTTCAATAAACCAAAATGTAACCCATGGCTTTAATGTGTTTATCTCCATTATCCGGTTCACGAGTAGCCTCATTTCCACAGGTGTTATAGGGATCATATCGTCCTCCTGTACCAAATCCAATCCTGGAGTCGCAAGAGAGGCAGTCATCCTGGTTGTTAGTAGCGGTGCCGATTCTTGCTTTGGAGTTACCAGACCCACCACACATAATATTGAACCCTTCCGTGTTACGGTAAACCTGCAACGAGGCCTCTGAGCCAATAAGCTTCTTCCACGTGGCACGACCCAATGAAGTGCTTCGGTTTTCCCCGTCAGCGATCAATGAACAAAGAGAGCTGGCCATCATGTTGATTACAATGAACCTGATCTGTTCGCCGATCTTCATGCTGAGACAGATCTTGGAGAAGGATATGTTCCAGTAAGTAGGTAACTTGGTCTCTTGTGAGTCGAATCGTGGAGGATTTTTTTCGTGTCACAATCATATATTTTACCCCCCCTCTCTTGGGCTCTTTTGTATATAATGATCCCCTCTTATTGGCAGTCAGATTTATATAGTTCCCACCCCCTTATACCCCGTTAGTGACAACTCATCTCCCAAAAATCGTACGACCCAATCGTTTGCGTCGTCGATGAATACCTCTTAGTGAAAGATCATGATAATTAATCGATAGAGGATCGATTCCACATGGTACCTTATTGCCGTTAATCTTCATGACTGGCGTCCATCCTCCATCTCCGCATCCAAAATCTCCCATGTGACAAAGAACTGTCGTTGGCTGTGAGCCCAGATGAAGAGAAACCAGTTTACTCACGTTTGGTCTGTTAATATACAAGAGGAGTAGATACATAAGTAATTGACTCTCTTATGATGCCAATCTTTATCATTTGTACTTTTTAAACTTCCTGACTGATACGTCGCCGAGCTCCGTTCTTAAGTTCCAATGTGGTTTTAACCAGCTGGCCACCTCTGCGTCTCCATGGTCACAGAAGATAGGATTTTAGAAAAGATCGGTTCAAATGAGCAAGCTGTGAAAACCTCTTACTTGTTTGCTTCGTACTCTTCCTTGCATGATTTTACTGCTGAAAGATAGAGTGTGATGTCAGAACCATTTGTATTCTACTGTTAAGAAAAGTATGGAAGAGAGAGACAGTAAGATAAAAATATTAATGAATTACCTTTCTCGCAAAATTCTCCCAAGAAACTTTCTTTACAAAGACAATCAAAAGTGTTGGAGTTAAAATTCGGGATGCAGGTTCCTCCATTTTGACACGGCGATGAAGAACATGGAGACTGAAAGAGAGGAAATGACTGTTAAGACCACGCAGTGAATACTTGAACAGTAGTTGCGATAGCTGTGAATAAGCATACCTCATCGAGAACAAGTACGTTTAAATACTTTCTCTTGCAAATGCCTTGTGTTAGAGTTTTAACACAATGGTTAAAGTGTTCTTACCCGCTGAATGGAAAAATTATGCGAACTCGTGTTTTTGTGGTAGTTCTCAGCGTTTCTGTTCTTATCGGAGGAAAGTAATTCGCACCAAAGCTTTCCTTCTGTCCCACGAGAAGAGGCCATGTTTAATGAGAGGCATAAATTATTTCGGAGACATGCCAGGGCGCAATGAAACATGTCGAGTATCGTGAACTTTCTGATCTGAGTAACGTCCAGATAATGGAACTCCTCTTTAAGAAAATAGCTTTGTTCAGCTGCTTGGTCAGAAGGGCCCCAATCTTGTTCAGCACTTTTCAGTCCTGGATTGAGGAAAATAAAATGGATTTTAACCAAATTGCTTTTACAATACTTAAACTAAGACAAGAACTCTCTGTATGTCTCTCCCTAGTGGAGTAAGGCTTCTTGCAGCATTTGACATTTGATAAATGTATTCGATTGTAAAGCCTTGCCCCTTTCTGTCTCCGAGAACGGAGACGGAAAAGGCAATAATCTCCGATGCAATCGTTTTCTGATTCTCAAATAAATTAAACTCCACATCCGAATCAATCACATCGTGAGGCAAACGATTATAATTCTTTTTTGAAGTTATTATTTACCACAATGACAAACCACAACCTATTTTATGATATAAAGGTGAAGATGTGATCCGCTCAGGTGAGCTGCATGTGATGAAAGAAATTGCTAGAGAAGCCTGAGAAAAATTCCGGTCTCGACGCCTTTCAAAAGATGACATATTCATATAATTGTGTCGATTCTCAAAGCTTAATTTGAAATTGGGCCAAAAGTTCTTCTGAAACATCCTACTTTCTAATATAAACGTATTTCCACTGCCCCAATAGATAATTGTATGTATAATTTTATGAAAACTGGAACTCTATCTTTGAATTAAGTTGGAGACAAATTCTTCTTCAAAGGCGATGATGAATATCTTAATCATCTCTATTTTTTAAAGGTAACAAAACACAAAAAAAAGACTTAAAGCAAATAATTTGTAGAACTTCAAGTTGATAAATTATAATTTATAGCTTATTCAGCCAAAGCGCATAATGGCCAAGAAGCCATTGTTTGTTTTTACCAGGAAACTCTTTGAAGACTTTGAAAGGTTTTAATAATGTGCTGCGACAAAAACTCAGATAAATACAACAAATCGACAGAACCTTTCTTTTCAGACACTTCGATTACGAAAAAAGGGCTTTTAATTTATTGTGACTTAATGGCAGATTTGTCACTTTTTCCCCGTAAAATACGGCTAATAGCACTAAGTCGTGACCGTGATAATTGCTACAAAGAGTGCATGAGGCTAAAACCGGTTTAGTCTCTAAATATTCAAAGTTTGAGAAAGTGAATTAACTGAAAGGGGGAAGGATTATTCTGAAATATCGTAGGTTTTGGATTGTCGGCGAGAATTAAAAAGATCGAGGGTGAACCCGTTTTTTTTTTATTTTTCAGCCAAATTAAAAAAGCATTAATCTCATTTTTTGCCACTTTAGCTGCCCGCACCAAATCAGCATAAAAAGGGATACAAAGTCTCGATAAGGTTGCTAAAACATTTAAGTTCCTTTTACTCAAGTGCACCGAGTATTTCTGGGCACCGGCAAACTTTATGGGGAAACTGACAAAATGCGCGGCTAGTCTTTAACTGATGAGGCAAAGAAAGACTTGTAAAATGAACACCAAGAAGAGAAAAAATCGGATCACCTTGTTCAAAACAAGAGCCAGTTTATATTCTAAGCTCAAAATTGAATTTTTACTAGATTTCTCGCCTTGCACATGTTTTCATTGCGTCTATTTTGGTCAACTGTTTGATTCAGTCTTGCCATGAGTAGAGATGACTTTGGCTCATTTGAACTTTAAAAGCAACACAATTGTGCTGTCTCCATCTCATACTTTATCTACTTATTAAAATACTTTTTTTTAGGCTATCTTTTCGTTCCTTTCAGCCCCTTTCGTTCTTCCTGACAGTTTCAGCAAGAAAAAAAAAATAATTATAAAAAATTAAAAAAAAAAATCTCGCGCGAATTGCTACACAAGAACTGCCAGTACAACCGTACCTAGGGTACGAATCACAGACATTTAGTAAAAGTGGAGCTCAGATTCGTTTCCCTCAAAAGAAAAAGGGTCAGATGAAAGAAGAAAATTCTGACATCGCACGCCAAAGACAAGCGGACTGAAGTTTTATTTTCCCAATGAAATTTTATCCAGAGATATCTTGCATAACATGACAGCTTAGCGGTTAAAAAAACAAGATGATTTGTTTTTCCAAAATTTGGAAACCTCTGAGGCAGGACATCGGGTCCTTTGAGGATTGGCGAAAATTTTAGAACTACGCCATACAGTCGTGCGAAGCCTCAATTGCCTGTGCTGTAAGCCGCATTTAATAGTCTTGATCAGGGAAAAATTACCAAAGACGAAATTTCACACACGTTCCTTAGAAACTGGAAAAAGTTAAAATAAAAATGAATTTCATCAGGATTTTCCTTGTCTTTAAAAGTTTTGTTTTCTTATGTACTAGCGAACGATTTGAGTCTCCCTGAGAATTGCACTTGGCAAAGAAAATATACCAAAGTAATCTTAGATGTACGATTCTATAGACAAAAGCCTTGGTAAAATTGAAGAGTGACCAATTGAAATGACAAGAATGAGAATCTCACACTATTACAGTTCAAAAGCTCTCTTTAATCTTCTTTCCATTCAAACTTTCGAATCGTTATGATTCCAACCATAACCTTTTAAGCGAGCGAGCTTTCTTTTTCTGATTGTTTTTGTTTCGTTTTGTTCTCAATGAATTAAAATGTATCCGATTTCTCTGATATATTTATCTCCATTATCTGTTCCGGAGCGAGAAGTCTCGTTTCCACGAGTGTTGGAGTCATCGAATTCCCCTTCAGAACCAAACCCAATTCTAAAGTCGCAAGAGTCGCAATCATTCTGGTTGTTAGTAGTGATGCCGATTTTTGCTTTGGAGTAAGGAGACTCGTCACATATAACATTGTACAATTCTTTGTTACAGTTATGAATACCCTTTAGTAGAAGATCATGACACTAAATCGATAGAAAATCGATTCCGCGAGGTACCATGCTGCTGTTAATCTTCATGACTGGCGTCCATCCTCCATGGCCGCATTCAAATCTCACATGTGACAAAGAACAGAGGTTGCCTCCGAGCCCTGAAGGATGGAGACAAGTTTACTCACGTTTGATCTGTTTAAGTGCAGCTGGAGAAAGAACAGAAGTCCTTTTCTCTTTTGATTAGAGGAATTCGTATCATTGTTTCTTATCAAACGCTTATAATTATTTGTCGGAGACGTTCAACGTGATTTAACCACAAGACTAACATTTAATCTTCAGCATCACATATGATAAAATTATTGCAATAAATGAGTTTCAACGAGCAAGAAGTTAATGCCACTTACTTGTTTGTATCATAAACCTCCTTGCATGATTTTACAGCTTAAAGATAGAAACTGATGTTAGAGATACATTGTACTGTTAAAAATGGAGAAGAAATGGAAAAGGTAGAGCTATATGTAACTCAAAGCAGATTGGTTTCGCAGGATTGGAAAGGTTTTGTTGAAAGCGTAAAATTTATTTGAAAATTAAGTTTCTCTCAATTTTCCCACTGATTCTTGGAAAAAACTGAATCTAGTTTAATAGTTTTTTTCAACTTAAAATGGGATCTAAAAGAGAATAATACTGTAACATCCCATGGTAGACTACGGTATCCCAGATTTGTTGTGGGTGAAGTCCGAATAATCGAGTCTGAATTCGAGCTCAAGTTAGATTTTGAACTTCGAGTTGAACTTTTAATTGAACTTCAAGTTTGGATTCAATGAAAATAATTCAGTTTATTCGCAACTTGACAATTTATTGCAGTAAATTTAAACTAAATGAGCTTCTGAGTTGAAACATTTTGCAAACCGCAGCTGCAATTACAACTACTGGGAGTACCTTTCTCGTAATATTCGCCCTCAAAGCCTTTTTTCGCAAACACATTCAAAAGTGTTATCTGTATAGGTTGCCACACAGCTACCACCGGTATGGCACGGGAAGGGCAAACATGGAGACTAATAAGGCCCGGTAAGAAAGTTTGTGAAAGTTACGAGTGCAATATGGTGTTGGGTAAGCACGGGTGAAATTTTTTAAAGACAGAAAAATTGCATCAGCCCGTAGGGCGAGTGCAGTTTGAAGTCTTAAAAAAATTTACAAGTGCTTATTTACACCAAATTCCAATCGAAATCGTCTCATTGCGTTTGCCAGAGCGTGAACTGAAATAATTCATTGGTATTCCAGGTCGCATAATTGGGTGTTGTTGTTGTTTTTTTCAGTCAGTTCTCTACAGATGAGTTCTTTTAATACATCAGATAATCAGCGACCTTAGATATAAGAGTCTCAATGGGGTCGAGGGGTGCCCTAGACAAAGGAAAGGGGAAAAACATGGGCAAGAAAATCAACCCGTTTACATATCAGAGAACCTGTCGTATCCAGATTGTAACCGTGCGGGGAATGGGTCGCTCCCAAGATTGATTAAGTCATCTTGATAGTAATACCATTTGTTTGTTAAGAGGGCCCACGAAAGCACAACTAAAAAAACTGTAGTTTGTCATCGTAATAAATAATCTTTTCATCATAAGAGACTATTAGTGTCGTTTGTCTCACGATGTGGTCACTTCGAATGTGGATGGCGACGTTCGACTGCATACTGTCAGTCTGCTTGAGGCCATTAGGTACATTATGCTGTGTGGTATATGCTGTTGGAAAATTCAATAAGGACGGAAGTTGTGTTATGCACGGTGAAAATTTACGATAGACTTCAACATTATCGAGTTTTTCCTCGAAATCGGTGCCGTTGTCGAGTTCTATTTTCAAATGGATCGGCGAACGATTTGAATCTTTCCTGACAAGTGCTCTTCCTTCAAAAAGTGTCCGAAAGACGTTCCAGCCTTACGAGACAACCGAAAAAAGGCTCGAGTAAATTGAAGAGTCACTGATGTGAAGAACATAAAAAAAACCTTATCTTTTAAGACTTTTGAATAAACCTTTTTATTTATTATTGAATCGTTTTGAATCTAATCTTAACATTTAAATAAATTTTACGTATTTTTCTTTGGTTTCAATGAACCAAAATGTAACCCCTGGCTTTAATGTGTTTAGCCCCATTATCCGGTGAATAACAAGAAGCCTCGTTTCCACATGTGTTACTGTCATCAAATTGCCCTCCTGTACCAAACCCAATCCTGGAGTCGCAAGAGAGACAGTCATCCTGGTTGTTAGAAGCGATGCCGATTCTCGCTTTGGAGTGATGAGACTTGTTACACAGAACATTAAATCCTTCCTTGTTACAGTCAGACTGCAGGGAAGCCTCTGAGCCAATGAGTGTTTTCCACGAGTCACGACCCAACGAGGTGGTTCGGTATTTTCCGTCAGCGATCAATGAGTAAAGAGAGCTGGCCTTCATATTGATTACAATGAATCTGATCTGTCCACCGATCTTCATACCGAGACAGATCTTGGAGAAGGATGTGCCCCAGTAAGTAGGCAACTTGGTCTCTTGTGAGTCGAATCCAGTCTCCCCTCCAGCAGTGTTGTATTCAGTTTTATTGCTCCAGTAACCAGAATCATAGTGAAAGGTACGCTGGGAGAATAATTTATAATATGATATAAATTTATTACTGGTTTTCTAATTATGCACCGTATTATCCTGCTCATTTTTAGACAATTTGAGACGATCCCTCCCCTCAACCCGTTTGACATATACTATCTGTCCCCTCAGTCAAAGAGATGTCAGCCGGAGACATGAACAGAGAGCGGAAGTCGCCCTCGTTGTCAATAAGTCAGTCAGCACCTGTGGAGAAATATCTCTCAAGTGGTCGATAATGGCACGCAATCGATAAAAAATAGATTTTGCATGGTACCTTGTTGCCGTTAATTTTCATGACTGGCGTCCATCCTCCATGTCCACATCCAAAATCTCCCATGTGACATAGAACTGTAGCTGGCTGTGAGCCCAGATGAAGAGAAACCAATTTACTCATGTTTGATCTGTTAATATACAAGTGGAATAGTTACATAAGTATTTGACTCTCTTATGATGCCAAGCTTTATCATTTGTACTTATTAAACTTCCTGACTGATGTGTCGCCGAACTCTGTTTTAAGATCCAACGTGGCTGAAGCAAACTGGCCAACTCTGCGTCTCCAGTGTCACAGAAGATAAGATTTTAGAAAGGATCTGTTTAAAAGAGCAAGCAGTGAAAGCCTCTTACTTGTTTGCCTCATATATGTCCTTGCATGATTTTACAGCTGAAAGATAGAGTGTGATGTTAGAGCCGCATGTATTCTATTGTTAAAAAAGTACGGAAGAGGGAGACAGTGGGATATTTCAAACATATTCGTGAATTACCTTTTTCGCAAAATTCTCCAACGAAACTTTCTTTACAAAGACAGTCAATAGTGTTGGAGCTGAAATTCGGGATGCAGGTTCCTCCGTTTTGACACGGCGATGAAGAACAAGGAGACTGAAAGAGAGGAAATGACTGTTGAGACCACCCAGTAAATGCTTGAACAGTACTTGCGATAGCTGTGAAAAAGCATACCTCGTCGAGAGCGAGTACTTTTATATGTATTCACTTGTAAATACCTTGCGTTAGAATTATAACACAATGGTTAAAGTGTTCTTACCCGCACAATGAAAAAATGATGCGAACTCGTGTTTTTGTGGTAGTTCTCAGCGTTTCTTTTTTTATCAGAAGACAGTAATTCGCACCAAAGTTTTCCGTCTGTTCCATGAGAGGTGGCCATGTTTAAAGAGAGGCACAAATTATTTCGGAGGCATGCCAGGGCGCAATGAAACATGTCGAATATCGCCAACTTTCTGATCTGAGTAACGTCCAAATAATGGAACTCCTCTTCAAGAAAATAGCTTTGTTCAGCTGCTCGGTCAGAAGGGCCCCAATCTTGGTCAGCACATTTTATTCCTGGATCGAGGAGAATAAAATGGATGTTTACCAAATTGCTATTGCAATACTTAAACTGAGACAAGAACTCTCTGCATATCTCTCCCTGGTGGAGTAAGGCTTCTTGCAGCATTTGACATTTGATAAATGTGTTTAATTGTAACGCTATGTCCTTTTCTGTCTCCGAGAACGGAGTCAGAAAAGGCAGCAATCTCCGGCAGCAATCTCCGGCAGCAATCTCCGATGCAATCGTTTTCTGATTCTCAAATAAATAAAACTCCACATCCGAATCGACCCCATCGTGAGACAAACGATTACAATTCTCTTTTGAAATTATTATTTAACACGATGACAACCACTACCCATGTTACAATATAAAAGTGAAGATATGATCTGCTCAGGTGAGCTGCATGTGATGAAAGAAATTGCCAAAAAAAAGCCTGAGAAAAATTCGGGTCTCGACGCCTTTCAAAAGTTGACATATTTATATAATTGTGTGAATTCTCAAAGCTCGATTTGAAATTGGGCCAAAAGTTCTTCTGAAACATTTTACTTCCTAATATAAACGTATTTCCACAGCCCCAATAGATATTTGTATGTATAATTTTGTGAAAACTGGAACTCTAAGTTTGAATTAAGTTGGAGACAAATTCTTCTTCAAAGGCGATGATGAAATATCTCGAATCATCTCTATATTAAAAAAAAGGTAACAAAACAACAACAAAAAAACTTAAAGCTCATAATTATTACAACTTCAAGTTAATGAATTGGCCAAGTAGCCATTGTTTGTTTTTACCAGGAAACTCTTTGAAGACTTTGAAAGGTTTTAAAAATGTGCTACGACAAAAACTCAGATAAATACAACAAATCGACAGAACCTTTCTTATTTGACTTAGAGCAATTTCAGGCACTTCGATTATGAAAAAAGGGCTTTTAGTTTGTTTTGACTAATTAGCAGATTTGTCACTTGTTTCCCTCGGAAAGCACTTAGTTGGAACCATGATGATTGCTACAAGGAGTGCATGTGGCTAAAACTGGTTTTGTTTAGTTTCTAAATGTTGAGAGCTTGAGAAAGCGACTGTAAATTAACTGAAAGGGAGAAGAAATATCGTAAGTTTTGAATTATCGGCGAGGATTTAAAAAATCGGGGGTAAACTTTCAGCCATATTAGAAAAAAGGTTTAGTTTCATTTTCGCCACTTTAGCTGCCCGCACCAGTTCAGAAAAAAAGGGATAGAAATTCTCGATAAGGTTGTTGAAATACTTTAGTTTCTAATGACTGTAAATATATGGAAATCATGTATGTGCACTGCGGTAGAAGAAACGAATATAAGCGATCTTCGCAGTTATGAACACTACTGAACTAGTATTTGAAATAAGGCCTGAAGGTTTATTTGGATCCAACATAATGACCAGCTGCCAGTTGGCTTGTAAGCTCAGTTGGTAGAGCGCTGCACCGGTATCACAGAGGTCATGGGTTTAAATCCCGTGCGGGCCTGATTTTTTTCAGGCCTTATTTCAACTACTGGTTTAGTAGTTAGTTTCAGCAAGAAAATAATAATAATAAAAAAAATCCTTAACTTCTTTGTCTACGAAACAAGTTTACCCCCAGGACTTATGCCTCAATTTATAAAATATCTGGTATTCTTGGAAAAATTCTGAAGCTAATAACTCAACAGGTTTAGCCACTATTGCTAAAAAGACTAGAATATCATATAGGGAATAAAGACAATCTAACCTGAGAAAGATTTGGCTGCAAGAGATGTCAGGAAGAGCAAATGGAAAATTGCGGACATGATGGCTTTTGCGCGATCGAATGATCCGCGGTCATCTGCTAGGAGTGAGTCTGACACTGTAAAGTGAAGTGAGTTTTTAGTTCTATTCGTGATAAAGGATTTTTCCTGAGTGTCATACGTGGGGTAATATATATGATATTGGGTTGCTCGTGTCTTTATCCAATGGCTTGGTACAGTTGGTAAGTGTCTCCAAACGATATTGTCCTAATTTCGAGGTTTTTTGTTTGTTTAAATAAAAAATCTGTCAGCTAGCAGATTAAGATAAGTGCGACCTTTAATTTGCAAACTTAAGAAAGATTGCTTCATTAACTTGTTCGTGTGATCCGGGAGATCACAAATCTACATAAAATCGCCCTTGATTTTGGAGTCTCGGAGACGAATTGCATTAGAGCAAATTAACATATTATCCAATTTTTCGCAAGTCAAATATTGGCAATAATTTCGCATTTTCCAAATTTTGGCCGCGGTCGCATGAAACCAAAATCCCTTGACCAAAAGTCTACTGATTGATCCATATGTCAATCACAAACCCATCTTGCTCTAGAAGATATTGAAAAAAGTCTCGCGCGAATTGCTACACAAGAACGGATCCTTTTTTCCTCCTGACCTTTATGCGTTGTGGTTGACGCTTGCGTTACTTTTGATGGCTTCGATACTTGCGATGGGAGGAGAATTTCTCGTTGAAGCTATTTGTTCTCCAAATTGCTGCCAGTATAACTGTACCCAGGGTACGAATCACAGACATTTGAGTAAAAGTGGAGCTCAGATTCGTTTCCCCCAAAAGAAAAAGGGTCAGATGAAAGAAGAAAATCCTGCCATCCCACGCCAAATACAAGCGAACTAAAGTATTTTTTTCCTAAAGAAATTTTATCCAGAGATATCTTGCATAACATTACAGCTTAGCGGTTAAAAAACAAGATTGTTTGTTTTGCCAAAATTTGGAAACCTCTGAGGCAGGATGTCGGGTCCTTTGAAGATTGGCGAAAATTTTGCAACCACGTTATACGGTCTTCAGAAGCCTCAATTGTTTGTGCTGCAGGCTGCATTTAAAAGTCTTGATCAGGGAAAAATTGCCAAAGACGAAATTTTACAAATACGCATTCCATAAAAAATGAAAAAAGTTAAGAAAAAAGTTAATTTCATTGAGATTTTCTTTGACATCAGTGCCATTGACAAGTTTTGTTTTCTAATGTATCAGCGGACGATTTTAGTCTCCCTGTCTCGCAATATTCGCATATCAAGCCTTTTTTTACAGACACATTCAAAAGTGTTATCTTTATAGGTTGTCACACAGCTACCACTGTTTTGGCACGAAAAGGGAAATTATTAGATGGCGAAAAATTGCCAAAGACGAAATTTCACAAGTACACATTCTATAAAAATTATGAAAAAAGTTAAGATAAAAATTAATTTCACCGAGATTTTCCTTGACATCGGTGCGATTGACAAGTTTTATTTTCTAATGTATCAGCGGAAGATTTGAGTCTCCCTGTCTCGCAATATTCAGATATCAAGCCTTTTTTTACAGGCACATTCAAAAGTGGTATCTGTACAGCTACCACCGTCGTGGAACGGAAAGGGAAATTATTAGACAGCGATCCGACTTTACCGCAGAACTTTTAAATTAATCATGGGGAAAACTTTTCTTCATAATAAGGCCCGATAAGAAAGTTTTATGAAAGTTTCGAATGCAATATGGTGTTGGTTAGCACGAGTAAAATTTTTAAAGATAACAAAATTGCATCAGCCCGTAGGTCGAGTGCAATTTGAAGTCTTTAAAAAGGTTTCAAGTGCTTATGTACACCAAATTCCAGTAGAAATCATGTTTTTAAATATATATAATTTACACGTAAAAGCATCACAGAAGGTCAAAACAGATGAAATTTTGACAGCGCGCTCTATTTGTAATTTGCACTCGTGTTGCAAGTTTGCATTCGTAGTACATGAAAAATTCATTAGTTTTTAGCCAACTAGAAGCGCGTAATTATCTCATGTATACTAGAAATGGCATAATTACAGTGCGTGTTGTAAAAAGTCAAGTCAGTGTAAATAACCTAACAAGCCTCACCTGAATAGAAACGTACTGCGAGCTCTTATTTTCTCGAAATTCCTCAGGAAATCTATACTTATGGGAAGAGAGTAACTCACACGCACTTCCCAGTTTATAGACCAACAGAAAGTGTCTTTCAAGCATGAATATAGGCATTCGTAGTCGTCGAAAACCACGAACGTTCCACTTTTAGGCGCAGCCTGGGGAGATAGAGGAAATGACTGTTAAGACCACGCAGTGAATACTTGAACAGCACTTGCGATAGCTGTGAATGAGCATACCTCGTCGAGAACAAGTACATTTAAATACTTTCCCTTGCAAATGCCTTGTTTTAGAGTTTTAACACAAGGGTTAAAGTGTGCAGAATGGAAAAATGATGCGAACTTGCGTTTTTGTGGTAGTTCTCAGCGCTCCGCACATGTTTTCATTGCGTCTATTTTGGTTAACTGTTTGATTCAGTCTTGCCATGAGTAGAGATGACTTTGGCTCATTTGAACTTTAAAAGCAGCACAATTGTGCTGTTTCCATCTCATACTCTATTTTTTAGGCTATTTTTTCGTTCCTTTCAGCCCCTTTCGTTCTTCCTGTCAGTTTCAGCAAGAAGAAAAAAAATAATCATAAAAAATTCATTGCTTTCTTTGCTCAAGAAACAAGTTTACCCCCTTGACTTGTGCCTCAACTTATAAATTTGTGGTTTTCTTAGAAGAGTCTGAAGCTAACAACTCAACAGGTTTTCGCCAAAATTACTAAAAAAAAACTAGAATATCATAGCGGAGCTCGCAGAGCGTAGCCCCATAACTATACGAAATAGTAGTAACCCATCAAGCCCAAAAAATTTGGTTGTACGACCTTACGACCGTACAAGGTGCTACTTTGAGCATGCGCGGCCAACTGTACCACGGACACTATCTCAGCCATTATGTAATGCAAGGGCGAGGGAGATGGTAATGCGCCGGCGCGATTGCGTGCGTAACTTGGATACCCCGTCAGTGTGCGCCAAGAGACACCGTCAGATGACGATAAAATGCGCATACTCGAACGTCAAGCTGCAGTGTAGCGTACTGCGGGCACACGGTTAGGCATTGCAGGAGGACTTCACGTGAGCTAGTAGCAGTGAAATTTGCCACCCGCGTTTTGAGCAGGAAATCGAACTGATCAGGATGTAGTTGAACAGTAATTCTCAGTATTTTGCAATTTCTAAACAACTCGTAAGACAACAATGCCGGCAGAGTTTAAGCTTTGTCAACCGGAGGAAATTGATATCATTCAAGTTCGTGGAGAGAGGGTT